CTGAGTTCTTTATCTCTTCATTTGATGTTCTAGGGTTTCAGGATTGTTGATTCTCTGTTTGGCTTAGTTTTTCGGATCTTTGTTGTGGAGGGATGGCGTGGTGCTTCTGCCTAGACCGCCATCTTGCCGGAGTCTCACAAGTTATTTCTTAATGATAGTGCGCAAATACAGCACGCATACACATATCTGTATTCATCCATTCTATGTCCTTGTCCCGTTTTACTCATAAGCAGCCTGTGACATACTTCGTGTTATCTCTGCTTGCCCATTCCTGTGTCCCTAACAGCCATTAGAGAGCAGGCAGTTGTAGGGGCAGAAGTAGAAGCAGAGATGGAGAGTTAAGAGTCACCACAGTGGGAGGGGAGAAGTCTCTTAAAATTGAGAGCTACTAGACCAGACTTAATGGTCTGACTGAGACTGGAGGAACCCCAGAAAGTGGCCCGTGGACTGTCTGTCAACCCAGCACTAAAACCATTCCCGAGGCCAACTCTTCAGACAAAGATTAGACTGGACTATGGGACATAAAATGATACTGGTGAAGAGTGTGCTTCTTAGCTCAAGTAGATACATGAGACTAAATGGGCAACTCCTGTCTGGAGGTGAAATGAGAAGGCAGAGAGGGTCCAGAGCTGGTTGAATGGACACAGGAAATCAGTAGTGGAACAGAGAAGTGTGCTGTCACAGTATAGGGAATTTTTGTATGAGAGACTAACTTGAATTGTAAACTTTCACTTAAATACAACAATTAAAAAAAAGTTGAGAGCTGCTGAAGAACCTTGAGTCTGACTGGTTGATGGCTATTGATACTGGTTCCCAACTAGGACTTGGATTGGGCTCCCCTTTGGACATCCTCACTACATTGTATCCTCACAGCCACCTTGAGCTAGTCATGCACTTTCAGGTTGCAAGGAGATTTATGTTCAGTATAATAAGATTTGTTGAGATGACACCCAGCTTGTAAACATCATACACCAGTGGGGAGGTTTGTGTTCTTCTGCCTTTGCTTCAGATTTGTTCTGGGGACTATAAAGCAAGTCACTTATAGCCTTAATTGCCACATCTAGAAAATAATGCCTGTCTTAGATCACAGGGCTTGGGGGAGCTCAAAATAGCTCAAGTGCAAAAGGGTGTTGAAAATAGGGTGTTCCAGGTTAATGAAAGGGAGGATGGTGATAGTGATGAAGAAAAATAAATTCACCCAGCTCACGTTTTTTTTAAGAACCATGTAAAAAGTAGTGAAGATGGTTGATACTCTCAGGTTCCAAAGGTTTACTCTCAAGGGGTAATTAAAGGCACACAATTATGGGTTAGCAATTATTTTAAATAATATTTTCGGGTAAAAAGCCTTTATGTTTTATCCTAACGTTTCAAATGTAACTTGACCCAGCTGTGTCAGCAAGTTTACTATCCTTGAAAGCTGATAAATAGTAGTAAGTGCAAAAGAATTTTTTGAGTTTTCTTTTCCTTATATACTTTTTTTTATTTGTTTTTTTGATACTGTTTTCCTTGGTTCTTCATTTAAAATGAATCTATGAAGTCTATTCTTAGACTATATAATAAACTTAAAAAAGGAGAAATGTGATATTGCAGAGACTTATAGAAGTTGAGAACATTTTCCATAGGCCTAAAAATTGATTTAAAAACAATGAAGTTATAGGGAGAGAGGAAGAGGGCTTTTTTTAACATGTCTGTCATGGATTGAATTGTGTCCCCCCAAAATACCTATCAACTTGGCTAGGCCATGATTTCTAGTATTGTGTGATTGTTCACCATTTTGTAATCTGATGTGATTTTCCTGCGTGTTGTAAATCCTATATCTCTGATGTTAATGAGATAGGATTAGTGGCAGTTATGTTGATGACGCTCAATCTACAAGATTAGTTTGTGTTTTAAACTAACCTCTTTTGAGGTGTTAAAGAGAGAAGTGAGCAGAGAGACATAGGAACCTCATCACCAAGAAACAAGAGCCAGGAGAATATAGCATGTTCTTTGGACCCAGGGTTCCTGCGCTAAGAAGCTCCTCGCCAGGGGAAGAGTGATGACCTTCCCCCAGAGTCGATAGAGAGAGAAAGCTTTCCTGGAGCTGGAACCCTGAATTTGAACTTGTAGCCTACTAGACTGTGAGAAAATAACTTTGTCGAAGCCATCCGCTGTGATATTTCTATTATAGCAGCACTAGATAACTGAGACATTGTCTGTATTTTCTAATCAGACAAATACCCATATTATAGAACTTCGAAACAATGAAGGATAAAATTGCCCAATTTCCCTGTACCTAAAGATAACTGCTCTTTTTTTTTTTTTAATTTCTGCCAGTCTTTTTCATTTATGAAAAGTTTTTGTTTTCTTTTTACATACTTGTAATCTAACCAGTATTTAAAAGTTTGCATTTTTGTACTGGTCTGTCCATCTTTACATTTATACCTGACAGTGATTAAGAGCTTAGGATAAATAAATTGAAAAACTTAAACTCAAGTTGAAGCTCTGTCCCTCATTATCTGTGTGACTTCTGGCAAATTCCTTAATTTCCTTAGTTGTAAAATAGAGATGATAATGATATAATTTCATGTGGTAGTTCTTTTGAAAATAATGTACATAAAGCTCCTGGCCAAATAGTGACTATAGACTGTGTTTAACTGTTAGGTTGTCCAAAACCTTTTAAATTGTATTTAATATTCCATCAGGTAGTGGATGTTTAAGATTTATTAACCATTTTTTTGACGTTTACATTATTTCAGGTTTTCACTGTTATGTATATTGCATCTTTGTATATACGTTGCCCACCGTTTAGTTTCTTTAAGAAACTTTTCTTAATTCAGAAAAGGGAATTTCACAGTAAAAGAGTGAATAGTTTGTCGTTTTTATATATTTCTGAATTATTTTCTGAAATAATTAACCAATTTCTATTCCTACCAAGTGTGTGCAATTTGTATTCCCACCAGTAGTATTCCCTGACAAAAGTGGACTTTTAGATCTTTTTTAATTTAATTAAAAAAATGGAAATTATACCTAATTGCTTTAATATGAATTAATTTACTAGTGAAATTAGACTTATTTGTTTTAATGGTTTTTTGTTTGTTTGTTTTACAAATCATCTGTATCCTTTGCTGATTTATTTATTTGGGTCTTAGAGTTTCTCTATCGTTGTTTTAAAGACATTGATTGACTGTAAAGAGTTTTTAAATTCCCTGTCCTCATTTTGATTTTTTAAATTTACTTTTTTTTAAGCAAATATTATCCATTTTTTCCTGTTACATTTAAGCTTATAAAACAAGTTTCCACATTGCCTATTGTATATTTACTTTTTTCTTCATGATTTACTTAATATAAACTTAATTTGTAAGGTTAATTTTGGCATATGGTGAGAAATAAAGATCTAGTTTTTTCCAAGCAGTTATCCAGTTGTTTCCAAATCATTGACTAAATATATTTATAATGCTACCTTTATAATACATTGAATTCTTTATATATTAGGGTCTCTCTGTGGTTTTCTGTTCTCTTGACAGCTAAAAATGCCTAAGAAGGAAGAGTTCTAAATTAGTTCACATGTAGCTTTTGCTCTTTAGGCATAAGAAGTAGGACTTCAGTTTACTTAAAATTAGTATTATGTATGAGATCTGTGTAGTCCCAGCAATTTACCATTAATTTCATTTAGATACAAATGTAACATTGTCTTCATTAAAGTAACTTCAGGTGGATTTTTGTTATTTACACTATTTAGGAGTGACCAACCAATCAACCTGTTGCCGTCGATTCCGACTCATAGAAATAGTGACTATAAAATTCTTTTTAGTATCATTTAAAATTCTTATCCCACAAATAAGTGAAAATTGTGCTGATATAGCAGTCTATAAAACAAAATGAATATGCTTTCCTAAATCTTCTTCTTCCTCTTTTTAGAATTTTATAGAATCTTCCATCATGCTGTTTGAATCTGACCTAGAGAGTGGGAAGTTCATTGACATTACAAATCAGGAAATTTCTGATTTGGAAGAAATTGGGTTTGGGAGTGAAACAAGATCCATTCACGTTAAAAGTGGAGTGTAAGTTGTCCCCCTACCCTGAGAACCTCGAGAGATTCTTTGGTGTTTACGATTATTGCTTGTTCAATTCTACATCACCTTTGTTCTTTTTTTTTCTCTGTTAGATGGGTTGCCTACCAGCAGAAATTCTTCTGTGGAGAACAATACATTTTAGAAAAAGGGAAATATAAATGCTTTTTTGACTGGGGAGGATCAAATAATACAATCATGTCAATACGACCTATCCGACTGGTAAGTTAAATATGAACATAACCAGCACCAGTGGTTATGTGAATATGTGGAACAAGCTTTTCGGTGGAATTGCTCAAGTCTATTCCGTGTATATAGAAAGAAAATGAAACATCATATGAATTTCTGTAGGCTCCATAGACAGCTAATAAGTATAATTAGCACATTGATGAAATGGCTCTGTAATTTGATCAGTAAATTCATTCAATAAGTATTTACTTAGTGCTTCTGATATGTCAGACACTGTGCTGATTGCTGGAGAAAAAGATGAAGAAAACTGCCCTGATGGGTCTCTGTCTTTTAGGGGAGATAGAGGTAGAACAGTTAGTTATACTGTGATTACTGAGACACTGAAGTGGGTAGCCAGTGCTGGGGAGGCAGGAGGAGGGAACCTCACTGGGGAGTTGGGGACCGTGCCACAGACAGAATACACTGAGTGGTGTCTGAGGGATAAAAGCAGTTTTGCCAGGCAGGGAAGTGGGACAGAAAGGACATTCCACAACGACGGATAATCTCCTTGTGTGCAGAGTCACCAAGTTGTGAAAGAGTGCAGCCAGTTTCAATAATAGCAAACAGGGCAGAACAAGAGGGGTGACCACGAAGTGAATGGTGGGAAGCTTGGACTTTATTTCTCTAATGGACATTGGAGCATGTTTTTATTCCTGCTACAGTATTACTCAAAATTAAATAGTAATAAATACTAAAATGATTATAAGAGAATTCAGTAGGTTATTTGAGGGTCATAGCCACTTCAAGGTATCTAGGAAATTGGTCAGATTTTTTTGTTTGTTTTTCAAAGGATATTTTCATGACTTTCAAAAAGATGAGATTATATGACTATAGTTAAAAAATGTTTTAACATATTTTTCAGGAACCACTTGGGATAAATGAGCCTCCACATTTGGTATGTTTAAAAATATTCTTAACTTATAATTGTTACATTATTTACTAAAAGCATTTACACCCTCATTCTCTCCCTCAGATAACTTAGGTGTATCTACCTGGCAGGGCAGCTTATGTTGTTCTTGGTACCTGTGAGTAGAAGAATGTCCATCTTTGTTAGTGGTGGATTGGCCTGGATTTGTCACAGTTCCTTTTGATTTCTCCTTAAGGTTCTACAGCTCATACCACTTTGGGATCATTTCGATCCTTTGCCACTCTTTGTTTCCTCTTGACCAATGTTACCTTCTTACTCAGCACAACATATTATGCTTTTCCTGGAGGAAGAAACTTACCACATGGAGAAATTGCTGTCTTGGCACACTTGCTCTGTGAATGTATTTCTAATACCTAGATGAAATATTTCTTAAAAACCCTAGTAAAATTGCAGTCTTACTTCTTTATTTCTGGTGTGTTTATAGTTGGGAGGATTCAACATACTCTGGGTCCAACATTTTTTTAGTACCCATTGTGGGCTAGAAATTGTACTAATTTAACACTTCTAATAACTCTGTGAGGTTGGTATTAACCCCATTTATGGATGGGAAAACAGATTCAGAATTAAAATGTCATGTCACACTAGTAGAAATAACAAAAGAGACACTTTCTAGTATCTGACTCCACTTGACTGAACCACATTTTTAGGGTCTTTCGCATCAAGGACAGACATACCCTGATGTGTATGGTGTGCACAGTACAGCCATAGAAGAAAGAAGGGATAGGAGACGTTGCTTCCTCTGGCTCATTTTAAGGAACAAGTCAGATGATATGTGTGTTAAAAAGCCAAATATACTGAATAATTTTATATATTTGACATTTGCTACCTTTAAAACCAAAAAAAAAAAAAAACAAACAAACCCATTACAGTCAAGTTGATTCTGACTCATGGCAACCTGTAGGACAGATTAGAACTGCCACATAGGGTTTCCAAGGAGCAGCTGCTGGATTTGAACTGCTGACCTCTTGGTTAGCAGCCAAATGCTTAATCACTGCACCAAAGTATTTTTCTCTCAATGTGTATGTTTTTTATATTTATGTCAGTATTTATATATTTTAAATCAGCTTAGTTTAGCCATGTTTCTGTTCATAGTGCTTTCAGGTTTTAGTATTTTCTGATTAGCTCAGGCCTACTGGGAACATTTCCTTTCTGAATATAATTGACTTGTTATATTTTGAGACACTCCCTGCCAGTTTGTTTATTTCAAATTTTTCAAAACTTCAGCTGTGGACTTTTAATGTAGCTTTTCATAGGAATCAAAATAATGTGAGTAGAATAAGAGTTAAACAGATAATCCCAAACTGCACATTTCTGAGTTTTAAGTACAGATAAAAAGTCATATTCTTTTAAGTTCTGTTTCTCCCCCCTCCTACCTCCTTCTTCTTTTTTATGGACTTCCTTGTTTGGGGCGGATTTCTGGGAGGGTTTTCTTTGTAGTATTTCCAGTCCAACTTGAAGAGAGAGGAAGCAGCTGAAAACGCCCAATGAATTGGCCCCATTTATTTTTCTGGATATGGCTCAGCTATTGCTTTGTGAAATAAAAGTTCCGGACGAGTATATGATAACTGGAGATTTGATAACACGTGCACAAGTGTTATCTACCCAGTATCAAAGCTCTCCTATTTCCAGTGGACCAAATTTTCGGAACTGGTTTTTTTATTCATACTTTCTGAAGTATAAGCGAATGGGTCTTGGGCAGTACATTTCACCCAGTAACTTGAAAGTCTTTTCTCCTTCACAGGTAGCTATGACAGTCAGATTGGGCAATTCAGATGCTGTGTTCAGATGAGGCAGTTATTTTCCCTGTTTGAAGAATGAGGAGGATCTATCTCTTAAGAGTTCAAGTCAGAGAGGGAATTTTTTTATGCTGATGATTTCAGGGAAACCTCAAGCAACCTAGGGGAGAGGAAGGGCCAGAAAAATACATATGTCTAGATATTGATGTATGTCATGAGATTTATGAAAATAAGAATATTGTTATGATTATATAAACATGTTATAATGAAATATATCTTATTTGGGACACTTGATACGATATCTCCTTTTATCAAAAAGATTGTTTTACCCTATGGCTGAAGATCAATCACTAAATCTAATTACCCACTCAAAATGCACAGGTTTATTAACAGAGTTTTTCATAATTAGCAGGTAGGGTTTCATTTTTCCCCAAACAGACAGAACAAAAATCACACAGAATGTGGATTGTCTTCATATTTTCATTGTCTCTCTCTCTTAAGCAAGCCCTGCAGATCAGAAATCTCACCAGATGTAAATCTTCTAAAGTGAGTTTAGTTTTCAGTGAAGGTTGTAGTCAGGGACCATTCTCTAGAATTCTGTTCTGAACAATCCCCCGCTTTGACCCAACCAAGTACCTTTCTTTCCTAGAATCTTGTATTTCAAGTCCATTTGCAAACATAATTAAAAGGTTGGATATCTTTTCATACTGAGCTCCTATTCCTTTTCACACACAATTCTAGCCAAGAAAAAGCAACCAAATATAGTCTTGTGTTAGATAATTTGGTCCTGTTGATTTTTCAAGTGATCACAGAATCACTAACAGTACTGGTTACTGTTAACTTGTTTGGGGCATGAAGATATAACAGCTTGGGGCAAATATCAGTAAGAATCAAGAGCAGTAAAGGGAACACTTTCTTCATGGTACTATAACCAGTTCATTTTTATAGGATCCAAAGAACAGAAGTAACCTGGAAGAACTATTTATCTAAGAAAGCCACCCATAAGTAATCAGGGAAGTAGAATTATTGTAGAATATATAATTGATTTGGGAAGTACTACATTACGAGACAGTGTAGTGTAATTGAAGAATAGAAACAAACTTTTTGTTAACAATCAGCATGTTTGTATGAGGGAGGACGAAAGGCCTGGAGAAAGTCCTGTTTAGGTAGTCAGGAAAGTTTCTCGCAGTTATTTTAGTATTGGAATAAATAAAATTATTCAAAATTTTATTCTGCTATCCTGAGTCTCTGGAATCAAAGTAAGCACGGCTTCTATGATTAGTCGGTAATTAAGTTCTTGAGTTTTTAGTTTTTATATTAAAGGCCTATCACCACATTTTATTCGTGTAGTTTAGGAATGCAAATCACAGAGTAAAAAGTGGCATTTCTGCAAAAATCTTTACCATAAAGTGGTGATAATTTCTGCCTCAAAATGTAGTTCTGAGGAAGAAATAATATATGTGAAAAGGCACCTTGTAAACACAGTAGTTCAGTCTTTATTTTCCTGCTTCATATGATACCATTTGCAGGGGATTGGGAGCCCTGGTGGTGCAGTGGTTAAGCACTTGGCTGCTAACCAAAAGTTTGGCAGTTCACATCCACCAGCCACTCCTTGGAAACCCTATGGGGCAGTTCATCATCTCTGTCCTATAGGGTTGCTATGAGTCAGAATTGACTCAATGGCAATGGGTTTCGGTTTTTTGTTTGTTTGTTTGGGAGGGAACGGTAGGGCTTGAGCTATGGCAGAAGGGATTGGAGGGATGACTGGAGTTTGAAAACTCATCTCTCGTTCGTCTGTTTGCCTAGGTTCTAAGAAACCTAGCAGAGTTGTTTGTGCATTTATTCTGCATCAGTCTGGAAAGGAAGCCAACATAGTGACCTGTGCAGCTAGCTTTTGTCAGGACTTAATTTTACCAAGACAGAGAATACCTTGAAATTATTTCATTATTATAATTAGTAAGCATAGAGATAGTTTCTGTGTGGACCATCCTCAGAATGTTATTATGAGAATTACTCTATGCAGAAGCATTTATAAGGTGGTCGGAATGAGGTGTTACTTTTGTGGGGTTGGTCTAATTTTAGGTGACCTATATACTTTATCTCATTTTTTGGGTAAAAATAAATAAATTTGGATTAACAATAAATTCACTTTTTAAATTTGAGGAAATATTTCAAACCATTGAATCAAAAAGATATTTTATGACATGTTTTATATGTATGTGTGTGTACATATATGTATGTACATATATATGTGTGTGTTTATATTACATTTATATGTATATATTTTTATTGAATTTTAATTTATTCTTCTGACTGAAGACAGACTAAAAACTAGACGTGGCTACTATATATACCATCTGAAATACGCTTAACTTGCATTGTCAGTTGTTCAGGATTTAACATTTCATGGCTTCATGGTGAAATACTGAAGTATAAATCTTAAGCTCAACAATATAAGATTAATTAACTCAACGAATGGGATACAAGTAGTGATCAAGATAGCATGGTCTCTGCTCTCGTGGCTTTTCCTATTTTCAGTTTGATTTAACTTGAAAATACTCGTATGTAGGAGAAATTTTCTGTTTTTGGAGGTTAAAAGTCATTTGCCTTTTAGCCTTATGTTTTATAAACCTTTCAGATAAAAAAATACAGTCTGAAAAACTGCTAACCCAAATATATGTCCTTATTAAGGAATTTGTGGGCAGTTTCCCTTGATATGTAGAATTGTTCTTATATAGGGAATTGTTCCAGAGGTCGGTCTCATTTTGGACCCCTTTCTCTTGCTATCCTTTGTATCCAACAGAAGGACCATGGTAGAACTTGCTGGGTCAGACCTCACTGCTTGAATGCTCCACATACAGCATGGTTTCACAATAGGAAGTCATGTTGTGCAACCCTCAGTCAGTTTCAGGGGGAATTGGTGCTCTCATCTTCTGGCTTTGGCCGATCTTTAATATCCAGATGAAGCAAGGTCAGAGTAGAGACAGGCATTAAACGATTCCTCGGAACTCAGAGACCATCAGCCTGTAAGAGGACCCTTGGGATGGTGACTGGAGGCGGGTATCATATTGTCAGAGCAGCCTTGTTCTTGATGACAGTGAGCTGGAGAAAGAGTGATGCTGCAGGCAGTTCGTTATGTGCATTCTTAGCGAGAGTGTGGGCCTGTCGGTGCAGTGTGAACCGTGAGCCATGCTATATCAAGGCTTCAGTGTATTATGAAATATTTATAAGGCTCATTAATTTTGCCTTACCCGTTATAGATCCAAGGCTACTATAATTGCAGCTTATTATATGTCTAGTCTAAAGGGAATTATAGTTGAGATTTCACGGATTTTCCTTGACAAAAGGACTAAAGTAGAAACGTAGTTATATCTAATTGTAAGCTGTACATTGAAGGTATTCTTATCAGTAAACTGAAGCCTGTAAGCTGAAATACATGACACAGCTGTCTCTCTTTCTTCACCAAAAATCTTCACCAATCCCATCATTATCTTCTGCGCCATCTGCTCCTAGGCTCTCACAGGCACATTCGTGCTCACTTAGGGCACGTGTTCACGCTTTTTCTTTCTCTCTTGTATTAACTGTGGATCAGGAAGACTTGGGGAGAGGAAAGGCATACCAACCAACCTCCATACGAATCCATACCTCCTTTGTGTTTGGTGCTAAATTGGCTCTTACACATGTGGTCTCAGCATTGTTGTTGCTAGTTGCTGTCGAGTTGATTGCGACTCATGGTGACCCCATGTGTGCAGAGTAGAACTGCTCCATGGGGTTTTTAAGGTTGTGACCTTTCGAAAACATTACCAGGGCTTTCTTTCATGGCGCCTCTGGGTAGGTTCTATCTGCCAACTTTTCAGCTAGTAGTCAAGCGCTTAATCCTTTGTACCACCTAGCAACTCCTGGTCTCACCATGTTGTTGTTGGGTGCTATCAAGTCTCGAGAGTCTATTTTCAACTCATAAGCAACCCCATATGACAGAGTAGAACTGCCCTATAAAATTCTCTAGGCTATAATCTTTACAGGAGCAGATTGCCAGGTCTTTTTCCTGCTGAGATGCTGGGTAGGTTCTAACTGCCAGCCTTTCAGTTAGCAGCCAAGCGTTTTACTATCATGCCACGGGCTCACCGTAGGTGATAATAATTATGGATACATTGGACAAGGACCACAGTTAAGTGGAGGAGGAATTCTGATTTACTCTGGTAGGTAGACTTGTTTTCTAGGCCTCTGTGCCAGAATTGAGGATCCCTGGTTGCTCAGTGGTTAAGCACTTGGCTGCTAACTGAAAGGTCAGTGATTTGAACCCACCAGCCGCTTCACAGGAGAAAGATGTGGCAGTCTGCTTCTGTAAAGATTTACAGCCTTGTATGTAAACCCTATAGGGGAGCCCTGGAGACGCAGTTTTTAAGAGCTCAGGCTGCTAACCAAAAGGTCGGCAGTTTGAATCCATCAGCTGCTTCTTGGAAACCCTATGGGACAGTTCTACTCTGTTGAATAGGGTCACTGTGAGTCAGAGTCTACTCAGCAGCAATCGGTTTGGTTTGGGTTTGGTGCCCAGAATCTGATGCAAGAGTTGGATGAAAATGGTAAATAAATGGTGACATTCCTGAAAACATGTAAGGAAAGAAAGTGAGTTTAAAGAGAATGTCATCATCCTTAACACAGATTCTTTGATATTAAATGAAACGTAATTTAATATTTTACTGAATTTTTTATAAGTGCGTGAAACTAAAGGTTTTCGTTTGCTTTGTGATAAAGTCAAATGGTTGTTTTGTGTTTAATTATTGCTGTGTTGTTGTTCTTGTAGCTGAAAGCATTCAGTAAACCAGGATTCCAAGGTGAATGTGTAGATTTTACAAAAGAAATTTCTGATTTGACTTCATTCACACCATGTTCTTTTAAAGTTCTTCGGGGTTGGTAAGTATGCTTGAATGTTTTGTGCTGTTGTTTAATAACTATTTTAATTCAGACATTTAAATTTTTATTTTTTTTTGCACACACAATGTGTTTTTACAATGTTTTTTTTTTTGTTTTTATCAGTGGTCAACTGCTAACTAGCCTGTAGTAACTTTGCTGAATTTGTATTTTAGGCCATTGTGTGGTACAGAAAACCAGAATGCTGATTCACTAACTTTGGGAGCATTTTGATGCTTTCGTTCTCATTGTTCCTCTTAGATTATTTCTCCTAAATAGTTTGAATGTTTATGTTGTATGTTTATTGAATAGCATAGTAGAATGCTATAAAATATAGCTAGTGTTTTTATCCACACAAACATATTACTACTAAATTTTTAAAAATCGTTTTGTTTGTTTAAAATATTTACTATTCCCTATTTCAGATGAGGATCCCAGATTCAGAGTTAGGATTTCCCAGTAGCACACACTGAATGTCAGAACCATGATTTCTTTGGTGGTTTTTTCTTTTTTTTTTTTTTAAAATACTTTATAGCTTATGTTCCTCCAACTGGAAAATATACTGGATCTTTCTCACATGTATTGGAAGCTATGTGGGTTTCTCAAGGCTAAAATATGTTCTTTTCTTTGTTTCTAATATCTACCTAATAACTCACCAAAGTCTTCCTGTTTTTCCTACAAGATACCTTGGATTCATCAATTCCCCTCCCTTCTTTGTTGAGCCAGTAGAGACTGGGAACTCCTAGTTTTCATTTGAAGAACTTTAAACTAGTCTTCTAATTAGCCCCTGCTCCTGTGTTGTCTTATTTCCAGTGTTTATCACAAACCAATTATAACCCACTTATTTGTCCTGAAATCCAGTTTAATTCTTTTTACTACTCTGCTTTGATTACCACAGTCATTCTCTGATTCTGATCAGATCCTCGTTTTCCATGCTTTACCATCAGCTAGTCTCATTTTCCAGACTCATTTCAGCCAGACCGAAGGCAAGCTCACTGTTCAATAAGGATAGAAATTTTTGTTTCTCCCAAGAAGAACTTTCAATCTCTTGAAGTATTTGATAATGACCAGGTTTTTATCTCAAGGTTCTGTACCTGAAGGCACTGAATGAAGGAATGTCTTTAGCTTAAAGCAGATGTCTTATTTCAAATTTTAACTTTATCATTTAATAGTTGATGAACCTTAAACAAATTACCTAACCTTTATAAGCCTTAATTTTAGTGCCTACAAAACTGAACATATGTTTCTATGTTATAGAATTATTGAGAATTCAGTAGAATAATGTATGTCAAGTATCTAGCCTGGTGCTTGGCACATGATAGGCACTCAATAAATGATAGTGGTAGCTGTTGTTACTGGTCCTGGGTACTTGCTACCGGTCAGCTCCACAGCTTCTAGCATGATGCTGAGTCTATACTGCCAATGGAATGCATTTTGACTGAGTTTCTTACTGCTTGTATTTTTAGCTGGCTCCTGTATTACCAAGGGGACATTTCTGATAATCATTGTGTGTTAGAAGAAGGCCTCTATGCTGACCTAACTTCCTGTGGTTGTCCAACATCTGAAGTCAAATCCCTCAAACCCATTGACTATGTAAGTATCTTGCTGACTACATATTCATAAGACTCTGTCCTTGTCCAGTTTAATTGCCACTGTTAATAATGTGAAGTTGGAAGAAATGATACAAGGGGAAATATCAAGATTTGAATAATTCGTTTGTTGATATTTTATGCTAATAAAATTGAGGTTCATTTATGAAGTCCAAGCAAAATTTCAGTGATATTTTCTTTTTACTTTATTTTATTTATTTACTTTCTTTAGCATGAGTGCAAAACTCAAGAACTAGAGTAGTATAGACCTGAGCTTGAATCCCACTTTGATACTGACACCAGTTTAGGTGGTGCTGGCAAGGTTACTCAATTTCCTCATCTATAAAAAGTAATAAACTTTATACTGCCGCTGGGATATTAAGAGCTCAGCTGCTAACCAAAAGGTTGGCAGTTTGAATCCACCAGTTGCTCCTTGGAAACCCTATGGGGCAGTTCTACTCTGTTCTGTAGGGTTGCTATGAGTCACAGTCGACTCAACGGCAACGGGTTTGGTTTGATTTTTTGGGATATTAAGTGAGATGATTCTTGTGAAATGCCTGACACGTGGTGAACACTCAGTGCATGTTAGCTATTATCATCATGGTTGTTAGTGTTATAGCTACTTAAGAAAAGTAATAACTTGATTATCTTATTATTCTGTTAGATAACAGATCACAGGACAGTCTGTCTGCTGCGCAGGTTTATAATGTTACTTTAAGGCATGGGCCACTACTGGTATTGATTTTAGACCTTGTTTTGAGGAACAAGGGCTTTCCTGCCTGGTATAACACAAAACTCTAAGTCACCTTAGAGGGCCACATTTATAGAGTAAGTGGTTTCTTCTTTCCAAAAAAACATCAGAAGTTTTGATGGGAGCAAAAGAGGAGCACTCCTCTGGGACATCAGTTCTGGGCCCCTGTTCAGTAGGGTCTGTGCAGAGGAAGCAGTGAGGATCTGGAATATATTTAAGATGTGTAGTTGTCATGGTTTCCTAGGGACATGTTTGGTCAACGCTGAGATTTACACAGAGCTGATCAGAAGCCCTACATGGTAGTAGGAATGACTCAGACCTTTCAGCCAGAGCTGACTCCAGGGATAATGACCATACTCAGGATCTTTTATCCTCAACCTAAGCACTGTAGTCTTATTTCACAAGGCATTCCTGGATAGAGTATTTTTAGTATCTGGCTAAGAATACATTTTTGGCTGAGGAACAAGAATAAAAATAAAATTCTTGGTCTCTTTCAGTGGCCCATTAGTCACTAACTTGAAAAGAGTAAGTGGCTACTGATGCTATCTGTCTGTCTGAGGAGAACTGGTAAAAAAGAATGTGGTCTGGTCCATCTCTTCAGCCCTTGATAAGGCACAGAAGGCATTGGAAAGTAGACTGCGTTTATTGAAAAGGAATTTTCTTAGCAATTTTTAATGGTCAAATCAGCAGTTATTTGATATTAATTCTAAGAGCAAAATACGTAGCTCTGAATATGAAAGTATCTTGAAAGGATTTTGCAGGACTCCTAATTCAGTGAGTTGAATTTCAAGAGAGGGTATTTTAGAAACATTCAGGTTCAAAGCTCCATTGGCATTACTTTTTTTCTTTGGAAAGTTATAGTTCTTTTATGTTCATTAAGTGTGAAATAAATAATTAAAATTGAGAGTGGAAATATATACAGAAAACAGAACTTCTTTTACATAAGTTGTAATGTGTAGTTAGTTACATGTCCTTGCTTCGGTCCCGTGGAGTCCAGGCAGTGTAGGTGAAGGTGCCTCTTGGGAAGAGCTTGAGAACCGCTAGCCTTTTTACTCCAAGAACTAGTTAAAGAGTATTATTTACTTTATGTAAGGGCAGCACATTAGTTTTCTTAATACTTTTCATGGTATGTTTAAATCTTAGAAAAGTCTTTGTTGAAGATGTGTTTAGGTAGGCAGTAGGTTTGCTGTTGAAATGGATGGAATGTGAGATGAAGTTGTGCATCTTAGCAAAGACCCCATAGATTGACCATGAAGAGGCTTCATCAGCTAGCATTACCTTGGTGAGGTCAACCATGCTTCACTTTGGGAGCCCCAAAGCCTTAAGTTGATCAGACCTAGGGAGATGTATGTAACCCAGAAGGTCAATTTGGTAATTTGTAGTAGGTGGAGGAATGTTATTTTCCAGTGACTGGAATGCTTGAAAACTCTGTCCTAGACATCTTTCTACCTCTCTTGAAGAGCATGGGAAACTAAACTAGTCATCAGAACGTAATTTGCTGAGCATGAGTTTGGAGTCAAATGAGGTGTAGGTGTCTTGAAATTAGCTTTTCTAGGCTATTGTTCCCCACAAAAGAGGCTCTTCCCACCCTCCAGGGCCCCAACTGTGTACATCTTCTAGATTCTACCTCCTTCTCCTGGACAGTAGCAGACACACTGCACCTATTCTGCCTGTTGGATTCATTTCATGTCCCTTTTCCCCCACACTGTTCTTACTTAGGAGTCGATGTGCCTTTTTCTATAGATTTCTTAATACCACTGCCTAGGCCACAATCCAGTGTGGGTTTGCCAGAAATGTTTCTGTATATTTAAGTTGACTTTACGTATATATGAGCAAATCCTTTTATTTTTCTTTTATTAGTTAAAACTGTAGAATTCTGAGTGTTGCCTGAAGTTGGCATTCTCAGAAATGCTCTAATTTTGTGTATAATTGTCATAATGGTATAATATTGAAGAGTCTTAAGACTTCATCTTCATGCAAGATTGGTATGTTTTGCACTTGGCAGTTTGCTCCAGGCTGGTTTCTGTTTGTGTAGACACATGTTACATTGTACCTTGTAGAGGTCCGTGGGTGCAGAATTTGCAGTACTATGCTCATTTTATAGGGAGAGGAGCTGAGAACGTAGTTTATCTTCTGCTTCTTACTAATGTGACCTTGGGCAAATTATTTATCTGGACCATAATTAGCTCATCTGTAAAGAAACTATTAGAATAGATATTTTCAAAACTTTAACAACCTACAGTTCTGTTGCAAATAAGTATCCAGGGCATATATCTAATTGGACATAAAAAAGTATATCCAGCCTTAGGACTCAAATATGGTCTGAGGAAATGTGATGGTGTATTAGCTTCTGCAAGCTTCTACTGCATAACAATCCCTAAAATCTCAGTTGGTTTTCGGGACCAATTTTTTTTTTTTTCTACACATTCTGTTTTAGCAACTGTAAGTTAACTGCTTGTTCTCCACTCTGGGCTGTGAATTGGTTTTAGGTTTTAAAATACACCAGTTGCTATCAAGTCGATTCTGACTCATCCTGACCTGCTGTGTGTCAGACTAGAACTGTGCTCCATAGGGTTTTCAAGGGCTGGTTTTTCAGAAGTAGATCACCAGGCCTTTCTTCTGAGGTGCCTCTCGGGTGTGAGGTGCCTCTTAGGTGTGAGCTGCCAAACTCTTGGTTAGCAGCCGAGCGTGTTAACTGTTTGCACCACCCAGGGATTCTGGTTTTAGGTATGTTAGTTGCTGTTGAGTTGATTCCAACTCATGGCAACCCCATGTGTGCAGAGTAGAACTGTTCCATAGGGTTTTCAAGGCTGTGACCTTTCAGAAGCAGTCGCTGAGGCTGTTTTTCAGGGTGTCTCTGTGTGGGTTCGAACTGCTGACCTTCTGGATAGTAGTCAGTATTTCACCATGTGCACCACTCAGGGACTGCGGTTTTAGGTATTTGTTGTTATGTGCTGTCGAGTCAATTCAGACTCATAATGACCCTATAGGGCAGAGTAGAACTGCCCGTAGAGTTTCCTAGGCTGTAATCTTTACAGGAAGGAGCCCTGGTGATGCTGGTTAAGTGCTCAGCTGCTAAATGAAAGGTCGGTTGTTCAAACCCACCAGTGGCTCTGTGGGAGAAAAGACCTGGCCATCTGCTCCTGTAAAGATTAACAGCCTAGAAAACCCTTTGGAGCAGTTCT